TCAAATTAGCCCCATGTAATAACAATAATTATTCAGTTAACTCTCGCTAATAGCATAATAAACCGTAGAATATGCAAGTTTAAATCAATTTGTAACACAAATAAGGCTAATAATAGATGTTACCTAATTCTACCGTATCATAAAACTGGTGAATAGTTACAGAAATTACTTTGCAATAAACATAAAATTAATGTTATATATATAACAGTTCTAATAAACTTAATACTTTATTAAACAATCATGAGAATAATAACTTTCCGGGCGGGATTCAGAAATTACATTGTAAAGGCGGGAAATATTAAATTGGAGAAACAGGGAATACGGTCACGCAGAGAACAAAGACCCACCTATCAAGGTTGAGAAGATGGATGATCGCGGACGAGCGTGAGCGACACGTGGTAGTGAAGCACATGGGAAGGAAACAAAGCCTCAACCTCAGCAAAGTCAAGGAACAGTGCGAGGAGACCTCCAGAATAGTACATTATGCGGCCAAGCAAGGACACTTCACTTCTCCCGATGGTCTGAGTGTAGCGACATCATTGAAAAGAGATATTAGCCACCCAGGCGGATAAATCATCCAATCCTGTGAAAAGGTCATGCAAACTCTGCGCAGATGGGATGAGCTCCGTCGCCCCCTAAATTATTTAATAAGCAGTGCGGACCGAATACCTGCTTTCTGGTTCCGAACCCATCAACTGTTGCAGATGACAAAAAATTCACGAAATTCTACCACCCTCCTGCTTTGAAGAAGACCCGTGAGACACGGGCCGAAACTTAGGAATTCCTCAGTCCCCGGAATGATATTTTTTGCATTCTATATTATTAAACGGTTTTATGTTGTCTTTCAGTATGACTACCAACGCATTAACGAAATATTCTAAATTAGTCGATATCATCATCCTATAAACATAAAAATATTCAAGTTTACAAATGGCTGTCTTCGAAGGCACGAAGAAATTGCCCGGATTCATCAGTAAAGCTATTTGATGCTTTCACGGCTTCCTCTTCATCTTCCTTGACCGTTTTCCCTTTCGGATCTTCGGATCACGGATGCTTTGATGGCTATACCTCTAATTATTATTCTAAGAGGAAAGTTTCAATTCACTTACTTGTCATGTTACTAGCTCGAGCGCATTTTTAAATAACCAGACTATAACGAGTTTTATTTTCCCTTAACCTATATTGGCCTATTTCGTCATCCGCCACTTTAAAAAAAAAGATTAATAACCACGCGTTGCATTGCGTACTAAATACTCTCGAATTATTACGTTCTTTCGGGCTACAACACATACGCAGGCGTCTCTGCACGTACTGATCTGTCGCATATCGCTAGTGACACATCAACGTCTGACGGGGGTAGTTGGAGTTCTGAAAAGTACCGGACCGCTTACATCGAATCTTTTCATCTGTCATGCGATTCTTTGCAATATTTATTTCTACTTCTCTCCTTACTGTGCTCTTTATCGAGAGGTGACGATCTGGTTCTGATCTGGCACTCAGGTTTCAAATGCAGCTACTGGTTGGTATACGTGCGAAATAGGACAAAACGATGGGACGATACCTCTTTTGCTGTCGTCGTCGATGAGGATGATTTCGCGAAGGAGGTGCCTCGGGGAACGGTTTATGACACTCATGACCGTTCTGATCAAAGTCGACCAGGCTTCATTATGAAACACAATGATGACGCTGGCGCTAGGCAGGTCAGTGTCGTAGGTCAGTTTCCGGCAGTCCTGATGTCGGACGTCTGGTAGAGATCGATTGACCGCCATGAGGTCGCTGGCAACGATGTTGAACTGGTTAATGGCGAACAGCTTCATGCTTCTTACCTCTTCCACGGCATTCATCTTCACGGGACGTCCCATTTCGCCCATGCCTGGTACCGGGCTATATTGATTGATGTTCAGCTCCTCTGAAAATACACCATTGAATACAGGTGATATATGCACCATATAGGTTTCATATGGTTACCTTGGGTAAAAGTGACTTGCTTTGATCCTGGCAAGGCACCTTCGTAGTAACCAACGATGGCTTGCACCCCGGGGGCAGCTGTAACACCCGGCGATCGGTCGCTTTCGCGTCTCGCCCTGCCAACGGTATACCATGCGCCTTGGTAATTTTCCTGCAGCCTCAGTATGACCACGGTTGTAATGACCCATACGGACGAAAAGAACGTGAATGCCAAACATAACACGTTGTTCTTCGGCCTCCACAGCCGCCGCGTGACGAAGAAGGCCATGGCGGAACGGATGCGCAGTGACGGCCGCTATGTTGAAGGTAGCTGTGGAACAAAAGGACGACTGACCTATCGGCGAGGCCAACGATGACCTGGCACTCCTCGACACCGACTGTTCGCCAGTGAGTGGCAGCAACGACTGGCGTCATTGTCGCGTCGATCACCTGACCGAATTGTACGTGTTTTTGTCATCCGTCTCCGTCATCGTCCAACGACGTTCTACAAAGAAGAAGTCATCAACGTCGTTGAGTCTATGACCTATTTCTGCCGCCGGTTGAAACGATGCAAATGCTGCATCTGTTTTGGAAAATCAATGAATGCTGCTTTCACTAAACCACCATTTCCGTAAATGCTTCTGAACTCCCATCCGTGAAACTTCATCAACTTTCGACGCGAAACCCCTAGAGGATTCTGATTTTTGCACTTTGAAGAGGAATGATTTGTTCTGAGAGTTCTTAACAAACTACAACAGCCGTCCTATAGGCTATCAGACTGTTGCATAATTAACAGTGTCTTCTGGAGTCAAGAGAATCAAAGCATCATCTCTAAGAGAAACGACCTATTTTGCATGCGTCTGTTTTGTCATCACTCAACCCTTGCATCGAAATTAATGTATCACTACATGTTCATATGATAGAAAGGGCTGCACTCCAAAAAAATCGTTCCTCGTTATTTTAAGAAACGAGTAGAGGCCATCGTGTGAGATCGAATGTTGGAGCACAACGATTTAGATAGACGGCTCTTTAAAGTAGGATTTGCTCCTATGTAGAATACGGAAACAAAAGTATCCACCAAAGAGAGGCAGAAAAGTGCATCTGCTGCGACAGCAACTATGACAGATTGGAATTTACCCTAAAGCAACTAGATGACAAGACATGGATATCATATATAGACTATCGATACGGACTTATCGTTGCAATGCCAAAAATAAACCTCCATGAATATCTGTATGGTAGATGCCATAGGGGATGAATAAATGAGCTGGCCATGATATCTTCAGGGATTAACATAGAGGGCACTCGAAACAGTCGGTAATCGACCCCAACGAGCAGGGATCAAAGTTTATCAATGCCAACTACGGGAAACTTTTCTCACGTATTTTCCTGGAAAGGTTGAGGCAGCCAAATCAAGGAGGTTTTCAGATGGGGTATTTCGGCATTGACCAAACTTTTGCTCTACATAGTATCACTGAGCAATGCCAACGAATCCAATTTGCTTTGTTTTGCCAGTTGCTCGACTTTAAGGCTGCATTGGATTAACTGCATCATCCAGCAATCTGGAAGATCCTGAAATGCTATGGTATACATAGTTTCTATTTTGGAAGAGATGTATGCAGTAACAATGTCGGCTATCAAAATCGAAGGAGAGCTACCTGAGAGGTTTTCCTTTGACAGTGGAGTTCGCTGCCAGGAAGACGTTTTTTCATTTTTGCTATTCAACATTTTTCTCTACTTTCTTGTCCAATACAGTGCTGACCTTGGCAAAGGTGAGGGTATTTTCCTCAATGGAAGGCGTAGTTCAAGATATATGACTAGACCTGTTGCTGATTTCGAGTATACAGATGATATTCTCCTGATGAGTAGTGCAGGGAGCTGTCTCATTTGACGGCTTCCGTATATGATACACGAAAGAAGGTTGGTTTTTTCCTTATCACACGGAAGTAAACGTTATGAATAATCCATTCAACACAGCTGATTTATAAGTTGTACAAGCAAATGAACCGCTTCAAGAGGTTCAATAATTTAAGTGTCCTGGGTCCATCATCTCCAACGATGGCACCACCCGGACAGAGAAAATAGAAGGATCACTTTAGCCTAAAGTTCTCTTGGAAACGTGTAAAATAAGGTGGGCTGAGAAAGAAATATTTCTTTCCAAAAAATTTGTCCCACATTTCCCATTTCCTCTGTGTGGCAATATTTTTGTGCGGCATGTAGACTGTAGTTTTAACGAAGGATCAAGAACGACCGCTGAACATCATGCAGCAACATTGGCATCGACGAGTGATGGTGATTAAATGGCAGAACTATGAAAGGAATAACTCTACAGGGAACAGGTAACCTCAGCAGATGCGTAGATTGGGAGAAAGAGTTTGGTCCTGATTGAAAATTGCTCAAGCCATTTACTCAAGCCCATAAGTTGCTCATGTTCGAATCCAGAACACGACAGACGTCCATCAGGAGGCCACCATGCATCATTGAGGAAAAAATAATGGCATGTCTGCTTTCGGAGAGGATTATTTCATTCTACGATGCAATAACCGGTGTCTTATAGCAAAAGTGTTGAAAAGCTCCGAATGCCGGACATCACAAACCCGGAAACTTCTGCTCATACAAACGGTTTGAAGTGATGATATCAGCAGACACATCAATAGCCATGCCTACTGTTGCTTCGGTAGTTAACTTTTCTCATCGTCTAAAATTTAACAAAGTTTGAAGAGCGAGGTTGCTGTGTGAAATTGCATGTGACAGCGTTGAAACGAAGTGTCTAAGTCATGGATCCAGCAGGCTTCAGGAGTTCTGGATCAACTGGACGCTTTGGTTATTTTTGTTAACCCGCCGTAGGTCTTCTATCTACAAAATGTAATATAAATAACATTTAAAGTTTCTAATTCTGGACCCATAGTGATATACATAGTTTTTTGAATGATTCGTGGTTCAGGGCCCAAGTACATCAGATGGTAAACTGTTTGATGCAGTCGCGTTTCACTGTACAGTTCTGAGCATCATCAGGGCTGGAATCCAGTATTTGGTGCCTGAACGATGCATCATTCAAACAACCATAAATACGTAATGTAATATCAACATATTCTGCAGAAAACGTCGACAGCATTGAGCGTAATTGTGTATATTTTTACCAGATCTGATCAGCTGCTCATCGCTCAAATGATATTGAGTTTTGCTCAGTCAGAAATCAAACAGGTTTAGTCTATAACTCTTTCTTTGGAGACGGTAGCCCTTTACCTACCAACAAGCCACTCTGTTTCTAGAATTAACGATAAGTGACTCTTCCTCAACCGTCGTTTGCCATGATTTGGCAAATTCACAGAAAGACGAAAAGCATTATCAATACGGCACACTGATGCTGAATATCTGGTCAAAGAAAGAATTCGATAACTATAATTACAGAGATTGAAAGACGCTTTATGTGTATGGCTAAATACGGAGCTGCGTGTTCACTGAAAGAAAACGCTACAGAGATTAAAACAAACTTTTTAAAATCTGTTTGATGTATTGGTTCTAATTGGAGCCAAAATTACAAGACTGGAATTAGACAAGGAACATCTCAAAATCATGGCCATATGAAACGTTGGAACAGGTTACCGTCAGTGTCAGTTAATCGCTTGAACTCTGACAGCTATGATTGTCATTTCTAGTCCCTGAAGTACAAGATCTCCATCAACCTCATCACCTTATCTGATGAACGCCTCTAAGATTGACTGATGATTGCGAAAAATCATTTGCTACTATCGCTGGCCATGAGATTGCGATTTGCGCAGCTGAAAGTCAGCGACTCTTCGTACTATGAACCAAAATGGACAAGATTTTACAATTCCTTATTTAAATTCATTCTTCACATGAAACTTTCGTTAATGGACAGAACAAATGGAAGACCACATCGACTTAGAAAGTCTATGGGAAAGGCATAATTCAAATGAAATAAAGACAACAACAAGGAGCAAATATGTATGAAATTAAAAACCGCCGTAGTTGCAATCCAAACAGATTAGTTCTAGGTATGTGCCACCTGCAGTGTGGATGTACACGATTACATCACCGTCATTTGTCAAACAAGAACATCAACAAAATACTTCACTGAAAGTAACCAGTGGCACAGTGGTTACAGGTCTGCTTCAAAGTCCACAGGTGTGGAGGTGTGGCCTTCAAATCCAAAAACATTATCAAGAAATTACGCCTTTGTTACATGGGTGCAACCAGCCGAGAAAAGATTAGTACATGGTTGACTTATACATAGTTAAGACAACACGGTATTCTAGTGTGACCGTACCAAATGGCCGATGGGTATGTTATCTGATGCGAGCCCCACTCATGGATATCTTTAAAGTAACGCTGTTCATTTCCAGGTTTCGACCACTTTGCGCTGCCTGAATCTGTAGTTATAGTACTATATTAATGTAAGCAGTGCCTCAAGTTTTGCTTGGCACAAAATCATACATCACTATAAGTGAAGACTTTATATCTAGATTAAAACTAGCGTAAGAAGTTGAGAAAATTTATGAATCTTATCACAGCCTCAGCATGTAGTCTGCATCTGCATTCACATGCATGTTCTGTATCTATTTCGACGATTTGGTACCAATGCACGGAATACTCTATTGCTAATGCCTGGAAAGGTATTGCTGATTTTCCAAATGCTACAAAACGGACTAACGATGATTTATGTGGCAAGCGGCTGGAGATTGCTAAGAAACTGGACGCTCAATCTGGTCACAAGACTTTACTTGCAAGCACAGCGTGCGTATAAATGGCAACAACTGTCTACACGAGGTATCATTTTCTCTATAACTACATAATTATTTTTCAAAACCACCGTTCCTCTTAGGTCAAGGGAGCTGCTGTTTCAGCAGTCCTCTCTAGTGATCTCAATCAGCTGACAAATGAGTACCCTCAACTGTTAAATGTATATGATCAAGACATTGGATCTATGATGAAACTCCGTGCAGCCCGTCCAGTAGCCTCGCCAAAAGAGTCAGGCTTGTAAGTGGTATATATAAAGTAGTTAGTTAAAAAAATTGGTTTCATCTACTTGTGCTCAACATGACGCTCTTCTAGTTGGCATTAAACACTCATGTCCATAAGCTATGGAGGCTGATAACAGTTTCGCCGTTCCAACGCTGACAGGTCCTTTTATACGCCTGCAGATTCTCTGTTCATCTTCAGGAACCAATCAGCGTTGACCTGCTGGCTGTACTTCCGGTGCAAGGTGCTCCTTTGATATATGACGTGCGGAGGGCGAGAGGTCTCTTTTGTTCGGCCCACGTTTCCGGTTCTTTGTGAAAGTCGAACGCTCCCTCCTTTGTTCGACTCATATTTCCGGTACTTCGTGGGTAGCGAGCTCTTGTCCTTTGGTTCATTGCACGTCTACTGTGGTGTGCAGCGGGAAAGGGGGCGTCCGATTGCCTCACCTCATTACAGCCGGTTGTCAATGATTGTTGCAATATTGTATTGGTCATTAATAAACGTGCCAACTTTTCTTCCGGTCAGACTCAGACTCTTTTTCAGAGGTTAAGAAATCGATGCAAATAGGCTAGGCTCCATGAACAAGATTTCAAGATACAATAGCATAAGGTTTTCTGTAAAATTCACCCATCAAATGAGTGGTCTGCTCCTTGGCCGTTTTACGTGAAGTTTTGAGGAGAGGAAAAAGTGTTCAAAAGTAAATCCACCTTGAGGGTATCTGTTACAGAGTATCCTGATCACATGCTCAGCAACGCCCAAAAGAGGTAAAAGAGCTGTCATGAGTCCAAAGAACAAACGTTTTAGAATGATTGAAGCATCGATTTTTGAGCCATATGCAGCATCTGATGAATCGAATTGCTGAGTTGGGCTAAGAGTTTCCATCAAAGCAGTAATATTGTCGCTAGAGCTTGAGAGAAGAGCAACCTATAAAAAACAACGATCAATGAACTGGAAGAAACTGGAAAGTAGAACAGCCTAAAATTTCATTCTGAAAGGACGCATTTCAGAGATGATTGAATATCATTATCTGGATCCTTGACGATCGAATATAGCGTGAGTAAGCAATGTTCGATTTGTAGTTAGCTGAGTTTTGTTTCGAGCATTAGAAATAAACGCAATCTAGGAACGAAGTAAAATAACCACTTATCACACCAAGTCGAAATTTCAGCAAAATGCAAACCAAACCATAAATTGACGTTGTCTGGTTTTGTTATTGCGTCAGCCGCAGCTTCGGATGACGTTACAATCGTTCGGGCTCCTATATCATATCACCTAAAATCTTCGTTCAACTAAAT